GCCCTGAAAATCCAATTTTAGAGCAGAACACGTAAGTGTCAAGGAACACACAACTCCCCAGGTGTACGACCCGAGCACCAGCAGGGCACAGAGTTTCTGGGACATGACAACCGTGTAGAGCAGCGGGTTGCACACGGCCACAAAGCGGTCGTAGGCCATGACAGCAAACAGAACCAGTTCAGTCACCACGAAGGAGCAGAAGAGAAAGAATTGCACCATGCACCCTGAGAAAGAAATGCTTCTGTCTTCTACGACTAGGTTCACCAGCATCTTGGGGGCAGTGATGGTAGAATAGCAGAAATCCGCAAATGACAGGTGGCTGAGGAAAAAATACATGGGGGTGTAAAGTCTGGGATTAATTTTGATGATTACAATCATCCCAAGATTCCCCAGCACACTGAAGCTGTAGATGGCCAGAAATACCAAGAAGAGGGGAGCCTTCAGTTCTGGGTAATCTGAAAAGCCCAGGAGGGTGAATGTGGCCTCAGAAGTTGTATTTCTCTCTGTCCAAAACATGTTTCCTTTTGGTGAGATCTGAAAATCAACCTTGGAGATAAAATATGGAAAATAATTGACACATAAACCATGCTTAACTCTCCCCTTTGAAGAATAAAGGGTGAGACACCATAGAGTCTTGAACTATCCTGTTATGTGCAAGATAGGAATAACTGAAGTTTCAGAAATAAAATCATTGACATACATTACCTTCTTAAACATTTTGCTAATATTGCAAAATATAATTATAGCCATGCAAGTATAATTATTAGCTCAAGCCATTTGGTAGGTCACAGGTGGTCAAATTCTCGTGAGAAACATTCAAATGTCACTGAATGTCATGAGCTCTACAAACAAAAGTTTAGAAGAAGAAATAATTTGTTATGTTGGTCCTACAATTGTTAATGAAAAGTGGAAGCATTTGAAGTTACTTCTGTAGTTGATATAATTATTGGTTTAGCATTTTAATCATTCTTCATGGTGACTATTTATGGCAGATATCAAAGCCAGAAATTGCTTCTGATATTTGTAACAAACTTAATCTATTGAGCTGCTTTCTTCAGCAGATGAGCAAAGTAAAGATTTAAGAAGCCATGGCCTGCCTGATAAAATAATAATATTGGATTATCAATAAATCTAGTTTCCTCCACTCTCAGTCAGATATTATGTCTTGACAGCAGGCTCTGATTTGCGTGACAAATGGGTATCATAACAATTTAACTTCATAAATATCACATTGGATACTCGATTTTCTGTTTCTTTTGACTCTCTTTAAGAGACTCTGCATTATAAAAGTATGGAAATTGAAAATAGTGAGGGCCGCAGATCCCCTATCAGTATTGGTGTTAAGTTTGCACACATAAAATGGAATTCACAGGAAGATTCCCATTTAGGAGTAATTGTGTAAAATCCTCATAAGCATAGACAAGGACACCTTGCTTTCCTATGCCGCTCTGTCTTCCCTAAAAACCGTCTAGAACACTCAGTGTCTCTCTCTATTACCTCTAAAGAAAGGAGATGGGAATGTTGGAATCTCACCCAACTCAGAAGCCACTCATGAGAGTGGGATTCTTATTACACGGAGATCTTCGTGTTTGTCTGACTGGAATCCACGTAGGATCTGCACATAAATTGCAAGACCCTAGTTGTCTTTCCGAAAGATAATGGTGAGTCCCAAATATATCACAAGCTATACTCGCACTAAGAAATTAGTCTTCTTTATGTAAAGTTCAAACTTAACCTGGCCTCCTATATTTTTGCTGGCTAGATCCCGCAGGCTACATTCCTAAAAGTTCAGAATTTCAGAATAGCATGGCAACCAACACATCCATTTCTCCTGGGCCTTACCTTGCATTGGTTCTTACTCATGAGTCCTTCATGAGCAGGAGATTCACTGAATCCCACACCCCCATGTTGCAGACAGTCATTTCTGATAAAAACTCCTTCTGCTCTTTTACCCGAGTGACAAATTCTAGGACGTCCTTCACTATGCATGTAGGGAACCATATCACCCTAACTACTGTCCACAATCCTAGGTGTTCAGAGGTCCAAGAATTTAAGAACCAATGAGAAAGCAATATTTTCCAGTATATTCTCACATCACAACGTTTTCACATTGTTCCCTTGCAGGGCTTCCAAACCTCCGGTGTGTTTATCTTCTGTGCCTGATGATTCTCTTATGCGAGGTTGCCCTGTGAATTGTATGGGGTAGAGAAGAATCTCTGAGCTTCATTCGCTGGACAAGACTCTCACTAACTCCACCTGGCTGTGAAAACCAAAAATGTCCGTAGACTTCTTTGGAGAGGAATGGAAGAAACATAATCTCCTGTAGTTCAGAATTACTACTACATTTCTTGGTACTGGTAGACTTTAATGAATTTTTTTCCGTCTGATTTCAACATATGACTAAATTGTAATTTGAATATCATGGATCCATAGTTCCCTAACGGTATTATTTTATGTATTAAGTAATTTGTGTAATCTTTAAGTCTGAGCAATGTGGTCTTTAGACATTTTCTCTCTTTATTTCCACAAATGAGGCCAATTTTCCCCATATTATACCATTTTATTTAGATCAAGTTCTCTCTGTTGTTTCTCTGGAAGGGTCACTCCGTTCCTTGAGTTCAACTCCATTTCCATTTCTCTTTTCCTTGCAGGTAACCCTAAAGGTTCACAGGTGTGAAGAGGTGGATCTGCAGATGAAGACAAACTGCAGAAAACCCTCGGGCTGTCCTGCCCATTCCCTGGCACTGACGTGAGTAAGACCAGCCCAGCCAGAGCCCCCAACTACACTCTGCACAAGGTGCACGTCACCTATGTCCTGAGTATGCAGGACAGAATGTCTACAGCAGTACAAATTTTCCCTAAATTATTTTCCAAGGAAGAACCTACAAAAGCTGATGTGTCTTCTAGATACCTTACATGGAAAACTTCATGCATGTGTTCTCAGACCTGGAAAAGCAAACCTGCCAGGGGAAGACAGCCTCCTCCTGCCTCTGGAGAGCTTGCTGGGAGGAGAAGCAAGCACTCTTATTCTTACTGCCGCTCCCTGTGGTGTCCTCTCCTAGACAAAACTGACTGCCTATTTCTCCAGGGGCATCAGAACATGCAATTAGAATGAACTGCTCCTGTATGATGTAATTCTCATTTCACAGAAAAGTTGTGAAGATCAACAGTAGCCTGCGAACATTTTTTTATGGAATTTAGCTTCATCGAGTGTCATTTTCCTGTGATCCAAGATAACTCACAGAGTATCCCACTACTAGTGTTAGCGTGATTGTTATTGTTATTATTATTATTTTACATAATGACAAATTGCAGCTGGAGTTAATTATTTAGTAATCATTTCTTAAATGCCACTCCTGGTCACTGAGAAGGCCAATTGAATCTTTATGACATGAACAACAACTTGATTCTGCCTTCATTTCCTTGGCTCCTTAGTGACATTCTTTCTTTTCTCTTCTTTTTTTTTCTCACTGTGCTGGGGATGGAACTCAGGACCTAGCGCTTGCAGGGCAGGCAGTGATACCACTGAGCTACATCCCCGGGCCCTCCTTGGCGACCTTCTTGTCCGGCACATGAATCCAACATCTCTGCACTTGTGCTGAAGACAAGAGTCTTGTTTCTTCAGTGCTAGCAGGAGAGCAATTGGATTAGAACCAGTCCATTAGGGTGTCTCGTGTTACAAACAACACCGAGGAATTCTGTGCACAGGGCTATGCTGTCTGCTGTTCTTGGTCTTTAGGCCCATAAATTTATATTTATATATAGAATATATAAATATATATTTATATTTTTGCACTCGGAGGGTCAAACTCAGGGCTTTGTGCTTGCTAGGCAGACACTGTGCCGCTGAGCTGCATCCTGTGTATGTGTATATTACACTGCCATTAAAACAGTCCTTTGAAAATTCAGCTTATATTTGCATATTAGTTTGAATAAATTATTTTCTACTGGAGATTCTTCACATAGTTGAGTGAAAAGAAGAGAAAGTGGACCATGTGACTATAACAATTCTCCCCCAAATGATACATTAATTAGCTATAAACTAAAGGTAAGCAAGTAAGTGAATTCTTTAATGACCACCTTGCTCTCCAGTTTGTAAATCTGAATGATTTTGAGTCACTTATATGGTCATAATGAGGCTCCTATAAAAAGAAATCCAGCGCCTTCTCTACCAGGCTTAGTATTCCTCATATTCTCACAAGTTTCATATCCATGAATATTATATACCTATTATCTACCTATATTTTGAATCTGCCCATTTATAAAATATTTCCGATTTTTGGATTATCATATTCATACATAAAGAGTGTCCAGATGCGAGATCTGCCATGAATTCTTCTCTGACTCTTTCAGATCAAATTCATTATTTTCCAATAGTCAGGATTTCTCTGATTATGTAATTGCTGCTCTGCCCACAGTGGGACCTAGTGGTCCCTTTATGCGTTTGCCTGGCTTCTTCTCCAACCACAGTGTATGTCTCAGGTGGCCTCCTTCCTCCTTTGGAGTTTCTGTATTTCCGTGTCTACTCAAGAGTGAACGTGTACATGTGCGAAAAATTATTGAGCAGAACGCTTATCTCTGTTTCCTAAAATATTTGCTCTACTGCTGCTCTTGTTCATGTGAAAGGCAAACTTGCATCCACGGTCATTGCTACAGCCAGGCCGATCACAAGTCAAACCAGCCGGTCTTCTAGGTTCTGTTTACTCTATTTGAACCCTCATACCATCCACCTCTGTTCAATCATTGCCTCTTCCTCAACTCTGGTCTTAAAGGCAATATTCTGTGACCAGCTGACCAATCAGGAGAGGAATCTTGTCTGATGTCCAAAAGCGTCACCTTAGTCTTTCCATTAAGTTGGAATGAGCATCTACTCATTGGGGAAAGTATTTGTGGTACTTCCTTGATTTGCATGTGTTATCCCAATCTCTGCTTTCATTTGCACACATTCCTCTTAGTGTCTCTCTGTGTCCAAATACCCTCGCTTCTTTGGGTAAAGACATTCATCTTAAATCGGAGATCAGTTTCTTGCTCCACAATTTCCTCATGGCGTTTTTCACTTCTGCAATCCTCAGTGTGTAAATTAGAGGGTTGAGCAGAGCTGTCCCAACTGTGTAAAACACAGCTATCATCTTATCCATGGGGAAGGTGGTGGCAGGGCGTGTGTAGATGAATATGCAAGGTACAAAGAACAAGACAACCACAGATATGTGGGAGATGCAGGTGGAGAGGGCTTTTCTCCTCCCTTCAGCACTGTGGTTTCTGAGAGAATGCAGGATGACAACATAGTTGAACATCAGCAAGACAAAGCTCACTGTACAGATGGCCCCACTATTGGACACCAGCAGCAGGTTGACCACGTAGGTGCCTGCACAGGCGAGTCCCAGCAGGGGCTCCAGGTCACAGAAATAGTGATCGATCACATTGGGACCACAGTAAGGCAGGCTCAAGGCCAGGAAAATCTGAGCTAAGGAATGCACACAGGACCCCACCCAGGCCACGGCCACCAACACTGCACAGACCCTGGGGCTCATGATGGTCGTGTAGTGCAGGGGCTTGCAGATGGCCACGTAGCGGTCCACGGCCATGAGGATCAGGATGAAGATCTCCAGGCAGCCAAACAAATGCAAGGAGAAGACTTGGATTAGGCACTCACTGAAAAAAATTATGTTCTTCTTCAAGAGTGCATCCACAATAATTCTAGGGGCTACAGAAGTAGAGAGGCAGGTGCCAGATAAGGATAAGTGGAAAAGGAAGACGTACATCGGACTCCCAAGTGCCCAACTGGTCTTGATGGTGGTGATAATCATCAGGTTACCCAGCAGCATTGCCAAGTAGAAAAATAAGAAAGTCATAAACACTATCAGTTTCCTAACGGGGACCTGTGTCAACCCAAGCAGAATGAACTCAGTCACATTAGTGTTCAGCTGCATGGCTTCGTGAATCACAAAAAGGGGCAGTTGTAAGCGGTTTAGCTGCAAAAACAAAGGAATTAATTTACCATGTCACATGTGATGTTATGGAATTTTTAAACCAAAAGTAATTATTTATTACCAGAGACATTCTAGTTGTATGAATGACCATCGCATAGAATCATTATCAGCCTAGAATAAAGTTGTAAACGTATTTTCCCACAGCACTTTCCAAATACAGCCCCTTATTAGCTTTGACATGATTCTGATTAATTTCAACATTTCAATAGATGTAAAATTTAGACGTATGGTTCCCATTATTCTTTTTTTGTATTCAGTAAAGTTCAAGGGATCATTTTATGTTTATTTTCATGCCATATTTATGTCTATCGAAAATGTATCAATGTTTTGCTAAAAAAAAATAAAAGCATAAATAAGAATATTTTGACTATGATTGGTTTACAATATAGATATAAAATTGCACACCCAACCCCATAAAATGTATTATCTATATTATACATTGTATATAACTGTCCATTTGTAAACATATATGCTATATTCTCTCAGATATCACACACTGAAAAAAAACAAGAAAATTCTATGTCCTATAAATAATCTTCTGCTACCATGAAACACCCTTATAATGTTTTGTGGACATTACAGGGAGGCAGAAATAAATGTTCCGTGATATTAATACATCATATAAGTCATTTCTATTTTCTTATTTTTAAAAACATTCTTTGCTATTCAAATACAGGAAATATACTTTTTTTCTTCCAATTACTAACTTTTATCAGAAAACCTGCAATATAGTTACACTGTTAACATTTTGGAAACTGAGTCTTCATACTTTAATCATTATAGTAAAATAATTATTTATTAATCTAAAAAACTTTACTGTCCAGAAAATATTTATTGACACTTGTTTTAATTCTCTTTCCATAACCTGAGAAATAAACATGATACACAACACACAGTAAAATTCGCTTTCCCATTTCAGTCACTTGTTCTGAAATAATTGTGCTTGAAGATAAATTAATCTTTGGAGGCAAATTCGTATAATAACATTTGCCCTCTAAAAGTCCAGGATTTAGGCCATTTATTTCACTGTATAACTTCTTTTGTTATCAGTACTATTCTACTGTCCATATTTAGAATACAGTTATTTCCCTCATATATTTTTTTAAATATAAATTAAGACTCATAGCTGTGCATTTCATTAACTTGTCAATAATTGTGGCTTTTCATCAAATCTTTCGTGAAGATGTTTGATCAATGCTACTCTTCCTTTCCAGAATGGCTTTCCATTTCTAGGTCTTTTGTTGTATAAAAATTTAAGAATCTAATAGCCAAGTAAGTAACCTGCAGGTTGCTACATATGATTTTTATTTTACAAACAAAATTTGGTCTGTGGCTCTCAAAAGATGATTTTACATGCTAAATTTGGCAGTGAATCCAGCAGGTCCTGCGTTTTTTGTTTTGTTTTGTTTTGTTTTTTGTTTTTTTGTTTGTTTGTTTGGTTGTTTGGGTTTTTTTTAGTTGCTAGGTTTTTATTACTATTTCAATTTCATTGCCTGTTTTTTGGATTATTCAGGATTTTTAAGTCTTGGTTCTGTTTTGCTGATTCACATTTTCAGAAGTTTCCTATTTATTGGTAAACAAGTTTGTGTAGTTGTTGCTAATAATCTTGTGCAATTGCACAGTGTCCTTCATGACATCAATCTTTTCATTTCTAATTATATTGATTTGTCTCTTTTCTCTCCTTTCTTTTATGAGACTAGCTAAAGGTTTTTCTGTTCTATTTATTCTTTCAAAGAACCAGCTCTCTGATTCAGTGATTATCTGTCATGATTTTTAAATATCCACTTCATTGATTTCAGATCTTATCTCTACAATTTCCTTTCTTGTATTAGCTCTGGATTTAGATTGCTTATGTTTTCCTGGGAACTTGATGTGCACATGTAGTTTATTTATTTTGGCTTGCTCAGTTTCCGTGATAAAATTACCTCTTAAAGCTGCTCTTTTTGTGTCGAATAACAAAGGAGTAAGCACATTATTTTCAGTAGCACATAGGGGTTTCTCCTTAAAATAAAATTATATATGTGGAATTCATATATTTCCAAATCACTTTATCATCACTTTAAATTTACCTTTATATCACTGTTTTCTGAAATTATTTAAACAATACAAGAATGTAAATTTACTACTCATATCAAGAATGAAATATTACAATAATTAAACTCATTTTAACATTCCCCCATCCTCACACCTGCAAGAATAAACACTATTCTGACTTTAGAAATGTGTATAACTATCTTGCTTCTGAAAAGAAAAATGCCTTTGCCCTATGTGTATACTTTTAGTTTTACTGGATTTTGAGTGTTTAAAAAATTTAGTGTACTGTGTAAAAACTTTAAGGGTTACTTTTATTCTTTATTCAAATTAAGTTACTAAATTTTGTGGGTTGTTGAATATAGTTTCAGGTGCATTTTCACTGCTATAACTCCTATACTGCATTTTATTATGTGATTATTTTAAAATGTGCTTATTGCTAATCTTATCAATAAATATTCATTGACCCCAATGAATAGTGCATTGAGGAACTATTTTAACATATTTCCCAAAAGGGTAACTAACAGTTTGCAGGATATTCAAATATTCAACTTCATAAAATAATATTTATTCTCACAAGAGGTTCAGAAAAATCTCTGAGCCAAAAATGGAGAGGCCTGAGATATTTCTGGACTGACTTAATACCTTCTACATTGTGAAAAATGGATTACATTTGTTAATGTTCTATATTATATAACCTTATTAAGAAGAAGCAAACAGATAATAACACAAAACTTTTCAGTGAATGAAGATAAACTAGTAATAGAAAATAGCAGACAGTAGAGTAGCTGGATACAAGGTAAATACTCAAAAATCAATAGCCTTCTTCTATGCAAATTACAGACTCACTGAGAATGAAATAAGGGAAATAATCCCTTTCACAATAGCATCCAAAAAATGAAATATCTAGGAATCAATCTAAAAAATGAAGCAAAAACCTCTACATTGAGAACTACAGCACTAAAAAAAGAGCTAGAAGAGGATGTAAGAAAATGGAAAGACATCACTTGTTTCTGGGTAGAAAGAACCAATATAGTGAAAATGGCCATATTCTAAAATTACTATATAGATTCAATGCAATCCCTATTGAAATCAAAAACTCTATATTTCATAGAACTAGAGAAAACAATACAAAATTTAATTTGGAAGCAGAAGAGAACTAAAATAGAAAAGGCCATTCTAGGCAACAGAGACATGACAAGGGTGTGTCACAATCTCTAACTTGAAACTATACTACAAAGCCACTGTGTTAAAAACAGCATGGCACTGGCAAAGAAACAGACCAAAGGATCAGTGAAATAGATTAGAAGAGGCAGAAACAATTCCTGACATACTCAGCTACTTTATCTTTGACAAAGGAGTCAACCACCCTCACTGGAGGAAAGATAGCCCCTTTAATAAGTGGTACTGGAAAAACTGGATTTCAACTTGCCAAAGATTAAAACTAGACATGTATCTTTCACCATGCACTAAACTAAAATTGAAGTGGATTAAAAATCTAAATATTAAAACAGAAACATTAAACATGCAGGAAGATAAATTAGGCAGAGCTCTCAGAGACATTGGCATAGGAAAAGACTTAATGAACAAGTCTTCGGTAGCCTGAGAACTAACTCAAAAAATCAACAGCTGGGATCTCATTTTATTCAAAAGCTTCTGCACTGCTAAGAGACAACCCAGAATGTGGGGAAAAAAAGTTCTACCAGCTGCTCCTCAGACAAAGGTCTACTATCTAGAGTATACAAATAACTCAAAAAAATCAGACCCCCCCAAATATAAAGACCAGATTCAAAAATGGGCAGCTGAAATGAACAGACACTTCTCAGACAAAGAGGTAAAAGCAGCAAATAAATATATGAAAAATGTTCAATGTCACTGGTCATTTGAGAGATGCAGATGAAAACAACACTTAGATTCCACTTCACCCAGAAAAGAATGGCTGCTATCAAGAAATCAACCAATAGCAAATGTTGGCGGGGTTGTGGGGAGGTACGAACCCTTCTTCATTGTTGGTGGGAGTGCAGACTGGTGCAACCACTATGGAAATCAATATGCAGATACCTCAAAGAACTAGGATAGGAAGTCCTGTTTGACCCAGCTAGTCCCCTGCTGGGTATCTTCCCAAAAGAATTAAAAGAATCATACCACAGAGATATGTGTAACAGCTAAAACCTGGAAACAGGCTAATTGCCTATCAACTGGAGACTGGATAAAGAAGATTTTTTTTTAAAACAGGTGGAGTACTACTAGCCATAAAGAATGAGAAACTAGAAATATTTATAGCTAAGTGGATGCACATTGAGGACATACACTTAAGTGAAAGTAAAAGGACACACATGTAAATACTGTACAGTTTCTCTGGTGTGATAAATTAAAAGTGCAAATAAGAGTCAAAATTTAATTGATATTTTGTAATAGGAAGAAAAGGTCTAAAGATACTGGGCAAATGGGAGGGGTGGGGAGAGGTAAAAAGGGAAGAGAAAAAAGAGAAAAGGAAGAAAATGGAAACAGTCTTTGTAAAATAGGGAAGGGTGGAGGGGGTGAAGGGAGGGCAGGGACAAGGGGAAAAATGAGAATCAAGACCTGTCATGTAAAGGTGCAAGATCCCAATGATGAATGTAACTGTACTGTATATGTAAAATGTATCAATATTCAGTCTATAAAAGAAATAAAGTCAAACAAATCAGCAGCCTACAATCAGTACTCAGTGCACCTATCTTTCATTTTCAGAGGTGAAGTGAAGATGCTCTGGTATACAAAACTCAAGGAAAACACATACACCAGATAGCACTGGGAGAAATGTTTCAACAAGTCCTTTATTGAGAAGAAAAATTGTTCCAAAATAGAGGTCTGTATCCACCAAATGCAATGCAGGACATTGCCAGGGTTGAATGAATATGTGCATACAA